AGAGAGAGAGAGAGAGAGAGAGAGAGAGAGAGAGAACGTGAAAGGAGACAAAGAAAACGAACAAACAAAATACCAGTCAGATAACTAGGTTGGATAAGAATGAGTTTGAGGAGAATTCTCAGAATGTTTTCTCAAAGTCTTTCTCGGGAACAAAGTCACTCTATAATGATCGTATCAGTCACTAATCAGGGCTTGCAAGAAAGGCCTGATGATTACGGGCCAAGAAACTTGCAATTTTCTCGATGTTGCAACTTTACTGGTTTTACTTTACTTTTCTGCAATCATGGTAATAGGTTATTGATATCATCAACGTCATCATCATTATTATCATTGTTGTTTTCGTTATCATTATTGTTATCATAGCCATTATCATATTCATGTTCATTATCATTATCATTATCATATTATCATTATCATCATCATTTTTGTTGTTATTATCATCACCATTATCTTAATTACTATTAATAGCATTCTTATTATCATTATTGTCATTATTATTATTATCATGATGATAATTGATATTATTTTCATCATTATCACTATTACTATTATTATTACCATTATTGCTACGATTATTATCATAGGTATTATTGTTATAATTATCAGTATTATCATTATTATTGTTATCATTATCATCATCATCATCATCATCATACGGTAGTGGTTATGATAATAACAATGATGATGATATTAAAAATAACAATAATAATGACTAGAAGCACTCAGAGAGTCCATACCTCCGCCATAGCAACAGGGTCACTGATACAACAAAAATATTCACACGAAGAATTATATGAAAATCACCCCAAGTACACTGGTGACGTCCGCCTTTAAAGAGATCCTGGATTCGGATCATGATTCGGATCACCACTAAAATTTCTTGGCAATTTCTAAACTGGGCCACGACAAAGTTTGGTTAAAAAATCATAAAAATCTGTTCATAACTTTTTGAGTTATCCTGCTAACCAAGGGAACAAACAACCTAACCAACGGCGCCTAAAACACAACCTCCTTGTCTGAGGTAATAACGCAAGCATTAATGGTAATGATAATAATGATCATTGAAGAAACAGTTATAACAAGTTAATAGTGATAATAATAATAATACCGATAATTATTGATATTATCTTTAACATTTTCCTTACCATCATTTTCATTATTATTATCATTAATATTATTGTTGTTGTTATTACTATTACCATTATTAATATTATTATTATTATTATTATTATTATTATTATTATTATTATTATTATTATTATTATTATTATTATTATTTATTTAATAATAATAATAATAATAATAATGATAATAATAATAATAATAATAATAATTATTATTATTATTATCATTATTATCATTATTATTTATATTATTATTATCGTTATCATTATTATCATCATCATTATTACTAACTTTATAATCTCGCCTTGTTATAATTTAAATCATGATTATTATTATTAGCGTTATTGAGTGTTATCATTATTATTGTTGTTATGATTTTCATCAGTATATATCATAATTATTATTGCTACTCTTATCATTGCCATTATTGTGATCATCAAGATTATTATCATCAGCATCAGTATTATTGACATCCTCATCCTTTTACAATCAGTTTTTGCCATTATTTTCCCTGCAGGGGCAAGAAGGAGATTCATCTATATAATACCTCTCATTTCTTTCAACTATACTTTTGATGCTTCATTTCCAATCTCATTTCCCGTGACCCGCACAAGCAATCTTCTTCTGATCCAAAGAAAATCTGTAAGTAGGGCGAACTTAATTAATCGAACCTTATTACATGTTTTGGCTACGTTCCGTTTCTCAGGGACTTCATGCCATGTTGCATTTATTTTTGATTGTTTAATTCAAGTGTATGTGATGTCTTTGATGATGTTTATAGTCATATGATAGCATATCTAATTCAGACGTCATATCTTTAAGGAAATGAAATGTTCTTTTTAGTTTAATATTATTAATAACAGAATTATGATAACAATAACACCACCATTATCTGACAATAAAAACCGACAACAATATAAATAAGAAAACCAACAGTTAAGAAATGAAGTACAGTAATAGGTATGAAAGTTTCTATAATACACAAATTATAACAAGAATTGCGATCTTAACAGAACTATTAGTTTATTATAAACGCTTTCAGTGATGATCCCCACCCAAAACTTCATTTAGAATACATGCAAGTCAAAAAGAAGAAGAAAAAAAACAGGAGACACATTATTATGATTAATTACACTGTATCCTAGGGTCCCCCCCCCCACCAAGATCTAAATAATTAGTCTATCGACCATAGGTAACCCACTCATAAATTTTGATTATAATCCTTCTGTAGCATCAACGTAATCTTCATTAAAAACCAAGAAGCCAGATGACAAAAGAAAAGAAAAAAACAATTATTTATACCTAAAAGCAGTAATATCAAATGAAACAGAACTCATGATAATAATAATGATGACCATAACCTTGATAATAATGCAATAACATGAATACACAAACAATGGTAAAAGAACACCTTAATTCAAAAACAAAGAAAATATATCAACAACTAGATAGAGATAAAAGATCAAACTAAAGTCAAAAGGGAGAAATCACAGGAAGAAATACTGTACAAGCAGAGTCTTACAACAAACCCTATTAAAAGCTTTTGAAATGCCCGGATCACTAGATTTCCCTGGAGGAAATGACTCCCTGTTACCAATAGAGCTTACCTGGTGATATTAGTGGTCAGGCGAAAGATTATGAGGGAGTCACCTTATATTCGGTTAGGTTGAAGAGAGGGTTGGAGAAGGAGAGGGAAAGGGAGGGAGAGAAGGAGTGAGGGAGGGAGGGGAAGAGGAAGAGTTGGAGAGGGAGAGGTAGGGAGCGAGAGAGAGAGACAGGAGGGAAAGAGAGAGAGACGAAGAGGGGGACGAGAGCGAGAGGGAGAGGAGAAGGAAGAGGGAAGTAGGGAAAGAAAGAGTGAGAGGGAGAGGAAGAAGAAGAGGAGGGAGAGTGAGAGAGGTATATAAAGAATGAGAGAGGGAGAGGAGAAGGAGAGATAGAGAGCGAGAGAGAGAGAGAAAAGTGAAACGGAAAAGAGGAAGAGGAGTAGGGAGAGAGAGCGAGAGCAAGGGGGGGGGGTCAAAAGGCGAAGAAGAGGAGGAGGAGGTAGAGATAGAGGGGGGGGGGTGAGAGGGTGATAAGAGGAGGAGGATAGAGAGAGAGAACTTGCCTGTTTCCTGGTCTATTAGGGTCAACTCTACTACACATAGGCAAAAAGAAAGAAAGAAAGAAAGAGAGAAAAAAACAGACAGCAATGTTGAACAGGCGTTTTCATGAAAAAGAAAAGTATTATCAATAATCTGACCCATTTACCTTCACGCCAAATCGCCTGTGACCTGTATTAGCGAAAGAAGAACAAGAGCACCTTAGTATATCCATGATTATTTTTCTGCGCTGACGTAATTCTCGGTCTCCAGGGAAGAGAAAATCGAAATCATCAAGAGAAAGAGCGAAGCGAAGAGTATCCACTAGTTTTGCTTTTGAAAACAAGGAAAGGTGTCAAGCGCTCCATACACCGTGGTTAATGCCTCCAGAGGGAAGCGTCCTTTGAACTCACAAGGGCATAAAGGGCCGGTAATGGGCACGGCATAATAAGGGGCGAGATTTGTGAAAATTGCAGATTTTTTTTTCTTTCTTCTTGTTAGGGAAGATGGGATGAGCGTTGTGAAGCAGCGCTCTTCTCTCCCTTTAAATGGAAAGGGGAAAGAAAGTGAATCGCGTGTATACCTGTGTCCATGTGTGTGTGTGTGTTATTTCTATATGTGTGCATGTATGTATGAGTGTTCATGTGTGCGTTTATGCATGTTTGTTTGTATTCTGCTCGGTAATATGTGTATTTGTCTGTATGTATGGATATGTTTGTCTGTTAGTTTGTTCGTTTGCTTGTGTATGTGCGTATGTGTATATTTGTTTATTTGTTCATTTGTTTGCGTTTGAGTGTTCTGTCTGCCAAACGCGCAAATACCCACTACCGTATATCTAATGCGTTCCCAGAAAATCCTGTAAGCAATATTACATCGCATCGTCGAATCCTCTGCCTTCGACTGAGAAAATCAACGCAGGAGCAGACTCCGCGCCGAAGTGAGCGAGTGTTCGCCTCGGATGCAAGTCGCGGCGGATCGCCACTCGGTCGATTGCCCTGACAGCGCTCAGTCTCAATCGGCGACCATCCGTCTCTCTCGCTCTCGTGCCTGGCCACTTCAGGCCACTTCAGGCGATCGGCTCTGCATCCGTTTCCACTCCGCCCTGTCGCTACCGCTTGCGGTGTGTGTCTGTGTTGATATATACTGTATATATATATATATATATATATATATATATATATATATATATATATATATATATATTATATATTCATTCACCCCCCCCACCTTCCAACGACCACCCCACCGTCATCCCACTCACACAGCCCTTTGCCCACTCCATTTTAGCCCTTAAAAAAACCCTCTCGACTCGTCTCCACACCTTCTCAAACCCACTTCACTTGAAAAAAAAAAATCTTCTATCTATTCCACCTCCTGCAATCTGTCAACTCTATCCACTTAAATCTTTCAAGCATCCACTAACTCGGCCCTCCCTAACACCCACCCCACGCACTAACACCCCCTCCGCACCCCACTCCAACACCCCCTCCAAGCCCCTCTACCACTCCAACAACCCACCCCAGCACCCCACTCCAACACCCCCTCCAACCCACCCCACTCCCACCCCCTCCCTTCCATCCCCCACCCAACACCCCCTCCAACCACCCCACTCCAACACCCCCTCCCCACCCCACTCCAACACCCCCTCCAACACACCCACTCCAACACCCCCTCCAATCCACCCCACTCCAACACCCCTCCAACCACCCCACTCCAACACCCCCTCCAATCCACCCCACTCCAAACACCCCCTCCAATCCACCCCACTCCAACACCCCCTCAACCCACCCC